TATATATATATATACCCCACTCCAGCCGGTCCATGAGAATATTTTCAAAATATAACCGGTACGCAACAGAATCAACAATCACGCGTTCATATTACTTCTAATGTGATACGCATAATACTACTACTACTAATAATAATAATAACAACGCTTCTAATGTGATCATCATTTGTAGAATAATGCCTCTGTGAAAAAACTGTCCTGTTAGAGAAATAACTTTAAACTTAAGTTTTAAGTTTATTTCACAGTTTACATCATATAAATATGTGCATGATATTATATAGGCTACAACATATAACTTGTGTTTGTTTGTTTGTTTGCTGGTTTTCATTGTATTTGTTATATTTGTATTTTTTAAACAGTTTTTGCCATGAAAATAGCCTTTGATGCTGACATGGCATTAAATAAATATATACCACTACTACTATAGGCTAAAACAAAGATAGCTGGATATCAAAAGTAATTTATAGGCATAATTGTCAACATTTCCGCCATATTGGTTAGTTTCTTTACTGACGAAATATAGGCTAAAGATTTGTGTTTTAAAATCCATGTAAAGAAGAGCATAGACACAGTAGCTCATTTTTATATCACTACAAAGTTACATGAAGAATAAGATCTGAACTTACTACAAAATGTGCAATCGTTTAAACAGCCATAACAGGTTTCTTGAAATTACGTCTCTTCTTTCTCCTCTTTTACTTTCTTTTCTCAAGGTTAAGGTGTGTCTTGTTCTTCTTCTTCTTCTGTTTTTGGCGTGTTGCATTCTATGTGTATATCGCCACCTACTTTTGCTGTTATGCAGTCATGGTTTATTTATAATTAGTTTCTTCTTTGCTTTTGCGCTTTCTATTCTTTCACACATCTTCACATATCTATACATATATTCCTACTCATAATTATTTGATGCTCCATCCCATTCCATCTCTTCAAGTTCCACCTGGCGCTGCGTGTTCAGCTCCTCCAGTAATCCCGTGGTCCCTGGATCCAGAATAGACTAGACCATCCTTATTCTATATTTAAATGCTTTCACTTAACCCAGTAGTACAGTCATGGCCAAAAATATTGGCACCCTTGGTAAATATGATCAAAGAAGGCTGTGAAAATTAATCTGCATTGTTAATCCTTTTGATCTTTTATTTTTAAAAATCACAAAAATCTAACGGATTCTTATGGATAACAAGAATTTAAAATGGGGGGAAATATCATTATGACATAAATGTTTTTCTCAAATACACGTTGGACACAATTATTGGCACCCCTAGAAATTCTTATGAGTAAAATATCTGTGAAGTATATTCCCATTCATATTCACAATTTTGAGCACTCCAGGGTGATTATGAACATGAAATTATCCAGGGAAGAGGATGTGTGTCTATATCATCCTAATGCACGGTGAGGAGGAGAGTTTGATTGGATAAAGACTCTCTGAGGACTACAGCTGGAGAACTGCAGAAAATAGTTGAGTCTCGGGGTCAGAAAACCTTAAAAAAAATAAATAAATCAAACAGCACCTACACCACCACATGTTGTTTGGGAGGGTTTCAAGAAAAATTCTCCTAGCTCATCCAAAAACAAACTCTAGCAAATTCAGTTATCAGACACGACTGGAACTTCAAATGGACTGGCTTCTATGCTCAGATGAAACTAAAGAATGAACTTTTTAGCAGCAAACACTCAAGATGGGTTTGGTGCACACAGGGATAAAAAGTACCCCATGTGTACAATGAAATATACTGCTGTATTTTTAATGTTGTGGGCCTATATTTCTGCTGGAGGTCCTGGACATCTTGTTTAGACACATGGCATCTTTGATTCTATCAAATACCAACAGATAAAAAATCAATAAGTGACTGACTCTGTTAGGCCATGTTTGGATCTTCCAACCGGACAATAATCCAAACACAAATCTTAAAAACAACACAAAAATGGGTCACTGAGCACAAAACCAAGCTTCTGCTCTGGCCATCCCAGTCCCCTGACCTGAACCCTGTACTTTGACGTGACATGTGGCCAAGTATGGTGACCCATACTCGGAATTAGTGCTCTGCATTTTAACCCATCCAAAGTGCACACACACAGCAGTGAACACACACCCGAAGCAGTGGGCAGCCATTTATGCTGCGGCGCCCGGGGAGAAGTTGGGGGTTTGGTGCCTTGCTCAAGGGCACCTCAGTCATGGTATTGAAGGTGGGAGAGAGCGCTGTACATTCACTCCCCCCCACCTACAATCCCTGCCGGTATGAGACTCGAACCCGCAACCTTTGGGTTATGAGTCCGACTCTCTAACCATTAGGCCACGACTTCCCCTGTAGAAGATGAGTGGGAATCTGAAGGGTCTGGAGAGATTCTGGATGAAGGAATGCTCTCTGATCTCTTGTCAGGTGCTCTCTAACCTCATCAGGCATTATAGGAGAAAACTCAGAGCTGTTATTATGCCAAATGGAGGTTTCAAAAAGCATTGAATAAAAGGGTGCCGTTAATTGTGTCCAATGTGTATTAGAGAAAAACATTTATTTCATGATATCTCCCCCCATTTTAAATTCTTATTATCCAATGAAAGGTTAGACTTTTGTGAATTTTTTTAATAAAAGATCAAAAGGATTAATGCAGGTTAATTTTCACAGCCTTCTTTGATCATATTTAATAAAATATTTCAAAACCAATATTTTTGGCCATGACTGTATATATGTATTTTATTAATATCCTATGTCCTACTCTATCTCTATTAAAATTGTGTCCTAACAAATATTCCAAATCCTTATTTACCTTACCTTTTTTGTTTAAACATTATATTAATACCTTTCTTTCTTCGTCATACCTTTTACACTCATATATCACATGCTCCACTGTTTCTTTCTCTCCACAATTCTCACATAGACCAGTCTCATGTACTCCAGTTATGAACAGCGATGTGTTTAATCCTGAGTGTCCAAGTCTCATCATAGTAATTGTGACCTCTTCTTTCCTATTTCTACCACTTATACTTTTTTAGTACCTACCATTTTTATATAAATGCCGTCCCTTTTTATCTGTATTCCATGTTTGCTGCCATTCTTTAGTAATATTTTCATTGGTTTTAACTTCACCTTTACTTAAAGGAACTTTAAAGTCTATTATTTTAAGCATTTTTGGCTAATTCATCAGCAGAACCAATAACCCAGTATTACACTATGTAGCTGTTACATTAAGGATGCATTTCTAACTGACCCTTAAAGGTTACTTTCAGTCATATAAAAAATTATGTCTGATCACATAAAGCACAGTGAAAAAATAAATAAATAAATAAACACAACTACTGCAAGAAAATAATGAAAATATGAAACAGTGTTAGCATATAATTCCATGGTAGCCCAAATCAGAACAAGACTTTTCAAAGAAATTAGCGTTACATTTACATTTTTCAAATTACACTGATTCCAAAATATACATATACTGGACAGGAGCATTAAAACATGTTTAAACTTTGGATATTGTCACACCAGTACAGTGTGTATGTGTACGAACCTAAGAAAGGCCACCCATTATTGTCCGAAACTTCAACATGGCTTGATTCATAGGATATCCATCTGAGAGCAACAAATGTTTTTATCCCATTGTGTGTGTGATGTCTCTGTGGTTCCTCAGAGGAGGTTGTTAATTCTGACACAGAGACACTGTGGAATCATTGTAAAAACCAAATCCAGCATAGAGGGGTTCAGTGAATGTGGTGTTGAATGTGTGTAAGTGTGTGCGTGTGTGTGTGTCAGAGACGCTGTAGAAGGAAAGAGGGCCAGCCGACACGTCCAGATAGACACCTACTCTATTAGATATATATGAAGAGGGAGGAATCTTGGTGCTGTTAGCCTTATTATCATGCCAGGAAGAGTAAATCGTATCACAACAGTAAAGATTCCAGGACTTGTCATTGAGTCCAAACCGACAGTCAATCCCACCTTTCCTGCTGATTCCTTTATATGCCACTGCTACATGACCCCAACCTATCAATTCAACCTCCCAGTAACAGCGTCCAGTCAGACTCTCTCCACACAGAACCTGCTCATAGTTGTCAAATCTCTCTGGATAGTCAGGATATAGTTGTGGCTCTTTCAAACATGTTGCCTTTCTGTTCTCCTCAGACAGGATGAGATGAGTGTTTGCTGTGTTTGGATCCAGTAAGAGATCACAAGCATCTGAACACAAGAAGAGAGAACAGATCATCTATTACAGTGGTTCTCTGCTCCTGCAGAGTTTATTTCTAACCCTGATTAAACTCTCCAACTTTCTTGTAATCCTGAATACCTTAATGAGCTTGCTCAAGTGTGTTTACTTAGGCTTGGAGCTATACTCTGCAGTTAAGTGGATTTTAAGGGCCAGAGTTGAGAACAGCTGACCTACAACATAATTAAATATGCAGAGATGTGTATATGTGGGAGTTTGGGTGCTTGTGTGTGTGCTTGTGTACTTACATTTTCTCAGTCCTGGTGTGGTCCTGAAATGTCCACCATGACCCAAACTGAATAGACAAAAAAAAAAAACAAGTAATGCTCATTGGACTGTTTTCTTAAAAATGTAAACACTTTGCAGAGCATTATTTTTTCTCAAGGGAGAATTTAGGTTCTGAAGTATTCAGTCGGATAAATAAATAATCAGTGTCGTAAAGTATTCAAGTAGATATAATTAGTTACTTATATCTTTCTACCAAATTTTGCTATAAGTTTGATTGCATCATATAATAATTGCTGTTAATAGTGTTCATCGTCTGTTTGATTACGTCTTTAATTGATTTTCCGTACATTTCTGCCATATGTACATTAACTGACAGTCACCACTGATAAGCTACCACTAAATATTGTAGAAACTTAATTTGCTGTAAAGTTGCTTTGCAACGATTTGTATTGTGAAAAACGCTATACAAATAACTTGAATTGAATCGAGTTGAATTTCTGGCTACTTTATACCTTGAGTATCAAAGTAAAATTTTACTCTGTCAGGTTTATATTCAGTTTGTTTGTATCTTAGTTTAATGTTGGTCCTGAGACTATTCTAGTATTTGTAAAGTATAATGAAGACTGTTATTGTTATCTCCTCCGTCTTCATAATCCACTGCTACTACACAGTACATGAGAGAAGAACCAACCCACAAAGAAATGGATTTACCATCTGCATGTCTCCTCTAGAGGCCTGTTTCATAAAGTGCACTAAGAAAAGTGGGGATTTCAGTCCAAAACCTGACTTGAAGTAAATTAACAAATCAATCTAAATCTAAAGCGGTTCCATAAACAACAATTTAAGTTCATGCAATATCACTAATCTGACCCAGGTTCAAGGTCAAGGTGCACTCCTGGAACGCGGAAGTGCCTGCAGAGTGCTGCTACTGAGGGGGACAACATTCCTGGAACAACATTCCAATCAACCAATAAGATGTGAGGGACAAGTTCACAGTTTATGTCAAGTTAGGCTTACAACCTAGGTTATGAGTTTCTACATCAGTGTTATGCACCTATCATTTCCCTCTGATTTTAGTGATACGTAATGATTAGGTATAGGTTTAAGGGTAGGGTTTGGATTAAGACTATGTTATTAACTAAAAAGCTAAATATGTTAATCCAGGAACATATCTTACTTGGCAAAAGCACAGTGACCACATCATTACACCCCTCTTAGGTAATCCCCGTTTCATTCCACATACATAGGAGTCAAAATTTTCCCACATACTTGAGTTTCTCCAGTTTATACTTTGGATGATCCAGTTTGTGTTTGAGCAGCTGGACTCCTGATTGTGCTGGGTGATTGTAGCTCAGATCCAGCTCTCTCAGGTGTGAGGGGTTTGCACTCAGAGCTGAAGACAAATAACCACAGCCTTCCTCGGTCACCATACAGCCAGACAACCTTCAGACACACAAGACAGTAAACAGCAGGGCATTTTAACGTATGGAACACAAACTATTTAATAATCAAATGGAACCCAGACCTCAGTATCTCCAGCTGACAGTTTGGACTCTTCAGTCCATCAGAGAGCAGCTTCACTCCTGAATCCTGCAGGTCATTGTTACTCAGATCCAGCTCTCTCAGGACAGAGTTTGAGGATTGTGGAGCAGATGACACAATTTCACAGGACTGAGCAGTGAGATTACAGCCAGCAAAACTGAAAGAGAGCAAAACATATGTGAATCCAGTTTTTAACTTTTCCACATTGGTATTTAACTGGCATTTCAATAATATCAGCTTCATTCTTGTAAAATAAATACAATAATTATTTTATTTATAAAATAAAATAACTAAAATAAAATCAAGATGAAGCACAAAAACAACAGAAATGTAAGTCAGTTTAAAAAGTAGTAAAGAGATGATTAAACACTCACATGGCTTTTCTGCAGTTGATCACAGCTGGTATCAGTCGTCTTCTCCCCTCATCTGATGTGTTGTATTTCTTGAGGTCCAGCTCATCCAGCGGCTCCTCTGACATCTGAAGCATGTAGGTGATTGTTGAGCAGTGAGCAGGAGAGAGTTTCTTCTCTGAGTGTTTGTCTGATTTCACAAACTCCTGAATCTCTCTGGACAGAGTCTGATCTTTCACTTCCAGCAGACAGAGGAACAGATTGATGGATCTTTCAGTGGAGAGTCCATGTCCATCTCTGATCTTCTCTTTAATGTACTGTGTGGTTCTCCTGATGCTCTCTGAGCTGTTCTCTGTGTGTGTCAGTAGATCCTGTAAGAGTCTCTGATTGGACTCCAGTGAGACGCCCAGCAGAAACCGCAGGAACAGATCCAGCTGTCCATTCTCACTCTCAATAGCTTCATCTACTGCACCTTTAAGCAAAATTTGTATTGAAGCAAAATTCCTCAGCCCCTCCATAATTAAAGTTACATGAAAGTAAAACACATGGAAAGCAGCGAGAAACTCCTGAACGCTCAGATGAATGAAGCTGTAGACTTTCCTCTGATGAATCACAGATTCCTCCTTAAAGATCTCAGTGCTAGTTGATCAGATTGTCCTGTGAGTGTTGTGTTCTGGCTGTTTTCTCCATCTGTAAAACCTCATGTTCTTCATTTACTCCTTATCTCCCTCCCTCTATGATGTAGAGCTGTGTGTAGATCCTGTTCAGGAGGGTCTCTTCTGGTTTGATTCCTTCAAATATGCTCCCGTACTTGTTTTTCATGCTAATTTTGTGCTGGTCTTTGACTCTCTGCAGGTCTCCAGTCTCTAGTGTGTGTTTCTTCAGGGCTATTTCAGTGTTATCCTGATTCATATGTGTCTGATAGTGGGATGTAGAGGACAGTGTAGATCTAAAATGAAAAAGAAAATAGCACCAAATAAGAGAGATTACAATTGGAGACCATGTGAAAATATATATTTTACCAGATATGATTTTGATACCCCTTTTTGAGTTGCATCCTTTCGTAATGCACATTTCATGCACTGTTTTTGGTTTACATGTAGTGTTATTTCATTGAGTTTCTTAAATCATGATTCATGATTTACAGGGGACATTTTTAGAAAATAAATATTTTGTGGTCCGAAAAGAAAGGAGGGCATACAGCATTAGAAGAGCACCAGGATGAGTAAATGATGACTTAGTTTTTGGGTGAACAGTGGGAGACAGCGGAGACAGTAACTTAGGGAGACTGAGAACTTGTTCAGGCTAGAACAGTACAGGATAGAGAAGAGTAAAGGTATAGTAAAGATTCCTTTTTTTAATATATTTAAAAGCGAGGATGGGTTAACAGGATTCAGTCAAGTGTTTGTGGAAAGATCAATAGATTTTTTTTTGAAAACTGCATGGGATTTGGCTGTTTAGGAAAGTTGAAAAAAAAAACTGTTTTACCTGGGGTCAGAGGTCACTGTTCTTTCATTTAAGTTAGGAGGAAAATCCATTGATTTATCACTCTTTATAGATACACAGCTGGATCCAGCAGATGAAGGGGCAGTGCCCTCATTATCTCTCTTGTTATGGAGACTCATTTTCGAGGCAGTGTCATCCTAAATAAATAAATAAATACAAAAGATAGTTAAAAACAAAGAAGAAACCACTTAGATACATGACAAATAGATATAAAAATAGATGATGTTCTATGAGGGTGAGTAAGTGATGACAGAATTTTAATTTTTGGGAAGACTATCCATTTAATAATATACACCCATAAGTATGCTTGTAATCTATTGTATAACTGCAGAACAACTGAAGACCAGTGCAGTTTACTTGTAGTTTACTTATAGCGCATTGTAGCACATTTTGGGTATTACAGCAAAAGTTTAGTGCAATACAAGTTAAACTCAATACAGCACAACTGCAGTTCAGCCCAGTAGAACAACAGGCGTGCTGTCAAATGAACTCGACTAGCAGCTATACTATGTTCCTGTTCAGTGTTTATGTGTGTGATGGTTTGATTTACACTTCATTTGACTTATGTTTTTGACTTATGTATTTCAAACATCTGGTTGCTGCTGTTCAAGTTTTTTTATGTTTTATTTATTTTTTATCCAGGAACATTCAGGTAATCATTTGTTAATTTGTTTAATGCTTGTTACAGCAGGAACGTGCAATCCGAACACAACATAGTTTCACAACAGTCTACAAAAGTTTAGTACTTTTAGTAGTTCAAGTACTGATGTGGAAATTTGAATGCAGTACAAGTGCAGTACTCAGCGATGATTGTGTACTTTACTCAGTGTATCACACTCGCATATCAGTTAAAAGCAGAAGTTAGATTGACAACTATGGCACTTTTCATTTTCGTGCGTTTGTGCAACAGAATGAATAACCACTGGTTTGTTGATTGTTTCTGATTATTATACATACACATTGGTCAGAGCTGTTGAACCTTCAAAATATAGTGTTACACTATTGAAATCCCATGTACTGAAAAGTAAAAATCTCAAATAGCAGCTGATTTTATATGACTGCATGGTTACATTAATAATAAGTTCTGAACTTACCACACAATATGCAGCCGTTTTAATACCTGAAATGGCGTCTCTTCTTGTCCTCCTTTTTTACTTTCGTTTCTAGTCACCTGTTTAAACGTGAGTCTTGTTTTCCTTTAACTCCACTCAAATGAAAAAGTACTCCCTCTAATGGCGCAGAGCCTTATCACATTCTCCTCCTTTTTATGTCAGTGGTTCCCGAACTTTTGTTCTTGAAGCCGCCCTCAGAGATGCCTTTATGTTGTTCGGTTATTTAAGAAATTCATAATAATAATTAAAAAAGCAAGATACCCGAGATAATGCATGGTTAATTTACAAAAAGAGTTCAACAAAGTATAACATTACTTATACAAAGTAAAAAAAAAAAAAAAGAGTCATTAAGTTTAATTATTTATGGACCTTATTCAAAAAATCCTGCATTTTTAACATCCATTCTCTTTAATATTCAAAAGACTGACTGTTCTTATTGAGTTTATCGGTTTATTTAAGAAAATAGTATATTTTATACAATTAAAAAAATAAGACATTATGTTTATTTTGTTCCATCACAAGCATATGCTAACTTAATCACATGTAAGAAAATTGTTTAAGAGTTTTAGAACATTTCCTTCATCTAAGTCCAACGCCAGAAAACAAATGATTTAATATGAAATGATTTAATATTGAAACATTTAATATGTGTCTAATATATGCAAGATATGGTTACTTTATCTATTAAATAGAGCAGACAATCAACCTGCTGTCTTGAATCTATCATTTGGAAGTGTACACTAGATTTGCCAATATTTATAAACTATTTGACACATTAGTTTTGTATCTGACTGTGTTAACCCATATTAACTGCACCCAGATATACAATTAGCAAATTAATCCAAAATAATTCATTTTATTTTCTCAGTTCTGTAACTGGTTATGACTCAAGGTAATAAATAAGATTATTATTTCTGAAGTGCATCAGCAAACAGAAGTGTTATACTGTTAAATTATCACTGTCCGATGTATAACTTGGTTCATATGTTAATAAAAAGCTTTGTAGTAGCTATTATTACAGTTGGTTCCCAGAGTTAGTACTCAGTATATCAGATGATACATTACATCATTGCTTGAATCTAACTGTAGTGTTCAGGAATCTGTATACATCCCCATCACGTCTGAGACCCCAGAATACTCAGAGAGTTTTTAACACACACACACACACACACACACACACACACACACACACGCACACACACACACAGACACACACACACAGTTTCTGAATTTGTGTTGTCGTACAGCCTGCTGTAAAGGCTGTGTTTTGTGCCTTGCATGCTCATGTTTCTTATAAAAAAATAAAAACAAACAAAACACAGAGTTTTTACTGAAAACAATTCTGACACCGTGTAAGACTTCGAAAAGAGAAGGAGCAAACAAAACACTTCCTAATTTTAGTACAGCCTGTCTGTATGAGGAAAAGACATGTCAAACTTTCATTGGAGGAAAAAAAATGGAAAGGTCAGAAGGTCGGAAAGAAACACTAACATTAATATACCTGTACACCAGGGGGCGCTCTCAGATTCACATGCAAATCAAAATGCGAAAGCTTGGGGAAAAATTAATGTACATACTGGCAACGTATTAGAGGCATTCTATATAAACATACGCACTGAATTTTGAATTATTTTCCATTTTTTTTAACCATAAAAAATTAAATTAACAGTAAAAATTAAAATGTCAACAGGTTTGTGTGATATTTAGGATTAAAGGTAGGGTTATCATTTTTAGTTGTATATTATATTAGTCATTTCCGTATCATATTATACATTGCCCTTAAATATAAACAAAAGATAGTACGTTAGTAGTATTGTGGTATAAAATTAGTAAGCCTATTGTAGCTGATTTAGAGTCGAGATTTCTATAACTGTTACCAGCACATGTCCTCAGTGAGCGCTTTAAAACTGTGAACTGGTTCACTTTGTGTTTCAGGAAGCACCGTTTGTCCCACTGCCGTATATTCCCTCCACTATTCTAATCTATAGCTATTGTCTATTTGTCCCGTATGTAAGTGTATGTTTGCCACGCCCACTAACTTTCTGGCAGATTCTAACCGAGCGCAGCTGCTTTTCTTAAAGGGGCCGCGACATTAAAGGCGAGCAGTCCAGCTTGTAGAGTTTAATTACCGTATATTATAATCTCGCTGTCATTTACCAGATGATTGAGAGCACTGGATTCTTCTGACTTTTTCTGTACCACATTCTTTCTCTTTTTACTAAGAAGCCCGTCCCTTTAAATCTCCTCCAGGGGCCACCCAGAGTCGCCCCGTATTTCTGTCGGTTGGCAATAAATCGCCGATGGTCACTGTTCGCGTCAGCGCGCCGCGATCAGTCTCGCTTCTGGTTCTCCGGCCATGTATCTGCTGTGTTTCTTTTCCCTGCTGCTGTGGAGCGGTCCGGCGCGCAGCTATTTCCCGGAGGAGCGCTGGAGCCCGGAGTCCGCGCTGCTCGCGCCGCGGGTGCTGCTCGCGCTGGTGTGCCGCAACTCAGCGCACTCTCTGCCGCACGTCCTCGGTGCCATCGACCGCCTCAACTACCCCAAAGACCGCATGGCTGTATGGTGAGTCCCGGCGGATTGGATTATTGGGCGTTATTTATCAGAACTAATGTTCTGCGCAATTGCGCGTCTGACAGATGCTGACTGATGCGTTGCGCGTTAACTGTAATACAGTAACTGCAGACTTTCTGCAAAGCAGAAACAGAGAGGCGTTTGTGTGTGTGTGTGTGTCTGTGTCTGTGTATGTGTGTGTGTGTGTATGTGTGTGTGTGTGTGTGTGTGTGTTGAGAGCGCTAACTAACAGCAGCTGTGCTTGCGTGAGTTTTTGGAGATGATGTGTGATTTATCTCTGTTTGGAAACGAGAGCAGGATAATTGTGTCTTTGCTCCTGCTGTGTCCTGTGTGCGTGAAGGGGAAATGAGCGAGTTTAGATGTGTCCAGGGCACACAGACACCCCCTTCAGGCCCCTCGATCAGCTCTGCCCCCCTTTCTTCCACTCATGCAGATGCAATCAGCCGACGTGTCTTTCTAGCCGCGCTCGTGAATGCGTGTTGCGCGCGCTGATGGGATTTGTGAGAAAACAACACATGAATGAGTCTGTGAGCTGAAAACAAAGCCGTTCCCCGCGGCGCCAGCGAGAGGCTTCTGAGAGAGGCTTCGAGCTCATGAAATATGCAAGTCATCAAAGTAGGGAAGACATCCATGGAGTAGTGAACTATTGTTGATCTCTAATAATTTAGAGCATAACTCCATATTTATCAAATACTTTGATGTTTATTATTTATAATAATCACAGTCAACAACTTCCCTCAGCGAGTACTATTTATTCTAACTTTTTCGAGGTCCATTAGAAAAGCAATAAATTGAAAATACAAAACACGAAACAATACAATACACTTTAAAAAGACAGTTATACCAATATTTTCTCATAAGTGACTGGTATGGTATCACAGTAAGCCTGGGATTTGCGACACTTTAGTATTCTTCTGACACCTATGAAAAACTTTTTCATTTGATAAAATATAACACCAAGTGAAAAAATGCAAAAAGAAGTTTGGTTTTACATGATAAAACAATACATAGGCTACTGTTTGAAGTGCAGACAGTGTATTTATGGATTGTCAAAGAACAATACAGACATGTTTCACCATTTTCCCATTCAGTGTTAGTGTAATGCATTACTAAGTAATTATTTACTGTAATTTAATTACTTCTTCTTTGGAAAAAGTAAGGGATTACTCTTATTTTTTCTGTAATTTAATTAGTTACTTCTGGTGTAAATGCATTCAATACTAGAACAATATAAAACAATTTAACATGGAATTGTAATGTCTAATGTTCTAATATTAAAATGCGGTGTAAGTAATGGTACAATGTATGTTTTAATGCAACCTTCTCCCTTTAAATACTTTGGTCAGTTCAAGAATAATATATGCAATTTAATATTTATTTTAAAGAATTAACAGAGCAGATTCTTGTCTATCCTTGTAATGTTCAGCTGGTTTAGAAAGTAATTAGTAATATGTAACGCAATACATTTTAGAGAAAGTAATTAGAAAAGTAATCTGATTACACTGTTGAAGATGTAATTTGTAGCAAGTAATTAATTACTTTAACTTACCCAACTCAGTTTATTGTCCCATTCAGAAAATAATGACATTCAGCACTCTAAAAGTACATTTTAAGTAAAAAATATTTTAAGTAGCATGTCCAAATGTGCAGTATTAATGAAAATATAAGTGATTTTACCCTTCAAAAGAGGCAACTAGAGCTCACCAGCTGATTATTTCCAACTTTGAAAACCAGCCTTTTTTGTCAATTCAGAGCCAAGTTCCCTTCCAGTGGATTATATAAAACTATTTTCATATAGTCCAACGTAAACCTGGCTGTGATGAATTATAAAGACAACGACAGCCAATCAGGATCCACCTGACTTTAAAGAGCTGAAACGTTTAAAGTGGCAGAGGACAAATCTGCGGCGAATTGATGTGGATCCCAAAACAGTTATTGTTCTTGGTGTGAACGGGCCTTAAATGAGTACAAGACAAAATGAATGCAACTGTGTGTGAACTCTTCCTTTAATGTGAATGCTTAATTGTTGTGCGAGTTTAAAATAGCATCTGCACAGACTGGCGTGAAGCCGCTGCATGTAAAACATTTCTGACATCGTATCATCTTCGTATCAGTCAGTTCAAAAAGAGTCACAGCGGGCATTCAGAACTGAAGCATTTCTCTCAGCGTGTGGTTAACAACTGAAACCGAACCGCCTGGGTTTGTGTCACTGCCACAAACAGACCAGAACGAAACCACATGTGGTCCGAGACTCCCAGAAGCCATTTGGGCGGGTTCAGCGCTTATTAGCGCTTTAGCAAACTGAAACTGAACTGTATTTAAAAGTCTTTGATGAACAGACGAACGTCTTTGCAGATCTGAGCGTCCGCACACGCACATGAAATGCCATATAATCTAAAGCTGTGTTACAGGAATAAACTCAAACTACACTGAAGAGAGACGATGCTCTAACCATAGCATACAGCAGCAGAGCGCTGC